GAGCAGTATAACTTTAACAATGGTTTCCAAAGGTGGACTAGTAGAGTTCAATGATTTCACATCAATCGTTTGCCCATCAGGAATGTTTGTTTCGAAGTCGAACCTATCGTACAATGATTGGATAAATAGTTCGTGCTCTTTAGATGTCACTGTACTTCGTCTACAATGTAAGGCATGTGAACGCGGTACGTATAGCTTACAACGAGGTCGCATGGAAGGATTAAGGATTGTCAATGGTTTTGCATGCCTGTCGTGTCCTCATGGAGCTGAATGTCTTCCCACAATTAAGTCGAAAGCAAATCATTGGGGTTATTTGATTGACGACAGTCCACCGGCCTTAAATTTCACCCTCTGCCCTGATAGCTATTGTCTCTCTGGTACGCAAAACCCAGACGGTTATAACAGTTGCTATGGGAAGCGTGAAGGTTGGATGTGTGGTCGTTGTGCACCTGGATACAGTGAAACATTATTTTCAATCGATTGTAAAAGATCAGAAGACTGTAATGACAACTGGTTTTGGCTAGTGTTTCTTGCACTTATACTTATAATGGCTTCTTTTCTTGTTTTTAAACCACCTATTGTCACATTTGCTGCAAAACATGTATTCTGGTTCGAAAACTGTGTAACGAAAAAAACAGAGAGTGTCATGGACGAAACCGAGTCATTAGCATCGCTAAGAGTGGAGGGAAATGAATCTACGTTTCTGTTGTCTACTGAGGAAATTGAAAACGAAAAGTTACAAGCTGTTGGTTATCTGGAAATCATATTTTATTTCTATCAAATTTCAAACTTGCTGCTTACTTCCACCTCAATAGAGCAACTATTAAAAGCTAAAGTAATAATTCCTGTTCAAGGATTTTTCAATTTTCAGGAAAGATATTTAGTGCACCAAATTTGTCCATTTTCTGGACTGACTCCCGAAACAAAACAAGCTTTTGAGGTTGCACCCGTGTTTGGAACACTGGGAGCAATATATTTCATCTACGTTCTGCATTACGTTCTGTGTAAAATTTCGCGATCTGCAACTCCAAATGTTGGACGTTATTTGGGGGCTACCATGGAAACGATGTTGCTGGGGTATATTAAAATCGCTAACGTGAGTCTCTCACTGATTCGTTGTGTGCCTGTTGGGTCTAAAAGTCGTTGGTTTTACAATGGAACAATTGTTTGCTACCAGTGGTGGCAAAGTGTTTTGATTGCTTTTGATGTGGTGGTTGTTATACCTTTTATATTTGTCTTGGCCTGGGGTGCAATAAAATTACATCGTGGGAAGGTGTCAGCGAGACATTTCCTACTCGCCTGTGTGTTTCCACTTCCGTTCCTAATCTTATGGCTTCTGCAGTCATCAGGTGTCTGTGGTATTCAACGTCAGCACGCGCAGAGTACTGAGTATACCGAAGCGTTAAAAGCTGTACTACTCGCACCGTTCCGAGAGCCTGAAGCAGAGAAAAGTGGCGCACTCTATTGGGAGAGCATTTTCATTGTTCGACGTTTTATCTTGGTATTTTTATATTGTTTTATTACCGACTCAACTTTGCGACTGTTGTGCATGGCAGTAGTCTGCGTGTTAGCATTGTTACATCATGCCAAAATGGAACCGTTCCGAAATAATCATGCAAATATTGCAGAGACAATCTCGCTTCTGGGTCTGGTCATTTTATCCAACATTAATTTGTATAAATCATTTTATGCTAATTCGAAAGAAGATATCAGTAATGACTGGATGCCTATTTTTCAAGTACTAGATTGGATCGAGATTATCCTGTTGGGCTTTCTACCGGCCGTGTTTACACTTGTGGTATTATTTACATCAATTTCTTTAATAACTCGCTTGATATTCGTAGTTTGTACCAATGCATATACAAGAATCCATGTAGGGCAAAGGCGATCACATGAAAGAGCTCCCTTGGTTGGCGATTAACAATAAAAGATACTAATGAATAACTGGTTAAACTCCCAAATAATGGGGCATGTCTAGAATAGGCCAAGGGTGCATGTTTTAATCCTTGAGCACATCGTAAATTTAAAAGTCCGTTTACATTTGCAATTTTTGCTGCGATTGCAGATGCGACTTTTCCTGCTGACGTGATGGTGACATGAAATCGCAAGTGCATGCGTACAGGCTGCAATTTAACGTGCTAGGGTAAAACGCTGAGACGGACGGAAGGGCGGACACCTACCCTAACCCACCTTTACCCTAATCCCTTTGTTTACATGTTGAAGTGTGCATTTGTATGAAAACAATTACACAAACAATAATATAGCGTAAATTAATGTACGAAAAAAATTCTGAAGTCAAAAATCGAACACCACGCACGTAAAGCTACTCATGATTCTCCTTTTAAAGATTATCCCTTTTAAAGATTTTCCCTCTTAAAGATTCCCCGAGTCCGATTCCCCATTCCCCTTTTAAAGATAGCTTAAAGACACGAGAAGTGTTGGGTAAAACGCGGATATATGACCCGAAAAATATATTTTACACCATATCCGCGTTTTCCCCGATTGGGTAAAACGCGGATATGATGTTTAAAACATATTTTAGAGCAAAATATAGGTCATCCGTCCAGGGGCGGCGCTAACCCTCTTCGAGTGGGGGTGTGTGAGTGATCTTTTGCCGACTGTTGTTTGGTAATTTTGCCGAGTCGTTAGCCTATAGTGAGGGTCCTGAAGTGGGGGGGGGGGTCCCAATCCCATTTTCCACCTGAAATTTTGGCAAAATCCCAGTCCCAGTTGGATTTTTATTAGAAATCCCAGTCCGAGTTATTGAAATCCCAGTCAATAAAAAACCCTTTATTTATCGGTAGAATAAACAGTTTTAAGACCTTCTAAGCCACCGTGTGTGCAAGTGGCGGACATTTTATGAAATATTAGGGAGGGGGAGGCTCGTGCCGAAGGCACGGAAAATTTTTAAATTTGAATCCCGGAAATGGCATTTGCATCATTCTGAGACACGCATAATCAGAAAACCCAAAATTTCTGTCGGCATCCATTTTGCAGCCCTTGGAAAGTCAAAATCTCGGCATTTCTTAAAATCTGTTCCCCGTCTTGGAGCACTATTAATCACGCATTTACGAATCATTGAAATCGGAATATAACTGGAACGTTACCTCCAGCCGGAAAATTCGAAAGTTGGAGTCAAATTTTAAATCCAGACGCGCGAAATTTGATCTTCAAACATCTAACGTACATACACAATACATAATACCCGTCAGTTTTTAAACCTTACACCGTAAAAAATTTGCATTGCTGCATGTGTGGTTTCTTTGATGCATGCTATTCGTGAGATTCGGTTTGAATTCAATTATTCAGGGGGTCAATTTTGGTTTCTTCACTGGTTATCTTTAGCCAATCCAGTTTTGCCGACTGAGATAACAATTTGCCGATTAGCTGACGAGTGTGGGGGGGGGGTGTTCCACACCCCCCCTGTTGCGCCGCCCCTGACTGTGTCCCCAAAACAACTTTGATTAAGGTGTACAATGCGTTAGGATAACCATATTTTGACTATTGCAGCCTTGTATGGAGCAAATGTAGTTGATCAGTAAGTTGCAGGAAATGCAAAACAGGGCAGCAAGGGTCATAACTGGCAGATCATATACGAGACACCTTCAAACGAAATTTTGAGGGAACTGGATTGGAAACCCCTGGTTGATCATTGGGAAAAAATAGTTAAATATTTATGTACAAAGCAAAGAGAAATGAATTACCAGAGAATTTGATGAACTTGTTTGAAATTAAAAATAACATTAATTATAATTTACGTAGCAACGGAAATGAGTTTATTCTACAAAAGCCTAAAACAAATTTTATAAAAAAAAGCATTAGCTATAATGGTGCTAAAACATGGAATAATTTACCGAGATGTGTGAAAACAAGTGAGGCCACAATTAAGCAATTTAAGACTGCGCTTGATCGTATTAAACATCAAACATTAAATGTACAATGTAACTAAGGCCAGTCAGATTTGCATGATTTTATATCTTTTATAACTAGTAATAGGTGTTTAGTTAATGTGTGATATCTTTATAACTTTAGCATTATGTATTATTTATTGCTTCCATTTTTAAATATAGATTACTTAGTGTGAACGGCTCCTTGGAAATCAATAACCTAGGCGTGTTGAAGGATAACAGTTGTAAAATAAGATTTTTAACAATAATAATAATAAAACTCGGCTTGAAAATAGGGGCGAAACGACCGATATATTATGAGCAGGATAAAGTGAGCGTATGTACATGTGCAAGACGATGATGATAATGTATCGGTTTTACTTCAAGATGGCGCCACAAATGACAAAACAAATTCAACCGATGAAACCCTTACGAATTTAGGGGAAATGCTTGAAGATGTTGAAGCTACCGGCGATGATATTATCCCTAAACTGGCTACAATAGCAGAAAACCGATGGAATAAAAAACTTGCGCCTGAAAAGCTGGCATTAATTCAAGAAAAATACAAGCGACCCGCCAATTGCACAACAGTATGCTCACTAACAGTTAACCCACAAATCTGGGCAAAACTGCCCCACTATCAATAACGGGCGGATTTAAATGTCTCGAAAATACAAGAATCGGTTCGGAAAGCTGCCCTTATATCTCTGCAAACAGCTTATTCTTTGACTAATAAAAAGTCTAACGAGCTAAATGTAAAACAGCTCTTAACATAGCAAGTTGATTCGTTAGCTTTATTGGGCCACATAAGTTATGAGTTGGCGTGCCTTCGCAGATACAAAATAAAATCCGTTTTGAAACCAGAATATGCTCCAATATGTGTTGATGATGGCACGCAAAGTAAATATCTGTTTGGCGATGATTTACCCAAACGACTAAAAGACGCCAAAGAGGCGAGCAATGTGGGTCTAGCTGTGAATACGAGCAATTCAAGAAACAACAACTATCGGGCGCCAAAAAGCTATGACCAGCGAAATTGGCGCCAAACACGTGGGAGGCATAATTACCATGCTGGCACTTCATGGCCGGATTCTTTCCAGCGAGGAAAATCGAACTACAAGGGGAAAAAAGGTGCAAAATACCAACCACCTCGCGAGAAATAATCGCTCACTTAAAGACAATAAATCCATCTGTTTCTCCAGTAAGTAAATGGGAAATTTTTATTCCTATTTTAAAGGATTATTTAATTAAATCAATTATGTGCCAGTTCAAAAGCTGGTCGTATCTCAAATCATAGTTCTGCCTGGACAAGCATAACATCAGATAAAGAGATCTTATCTGACACTTGGGGCATGACCATTGAATTATCAGAAATGCCTGGCCAACATCGCTTTGTCCAAACAAAATTTAACAGTGCAGAAACTGAGATCATTGAGACCGAAATCAACAAAATGTTGGGAAAAGAAATTATAGAACAAGTCGAACATACAAAAGATGAAATTACCTCAAACATTTTTACAAGACCTAAAAAGGATGGCACCCATGAAGTGATCATTAATCTAAAAGATTTCAATAAACATGTATCCTACTATCATTTTAAAATGGTTCATTAAACACTATAGTAAAATTAGTCGATAAAGATTGTTTTATGGCCTCAATAGATGTCAAAGATGCCTATTATTCAATACCTATTCGGGAAACAGACAGAAAATATTTGAGATTTTATTGGAATAATCAACTTTACCAGTTTACTTGCCTACCAAATGGGTTGTCGAGCGGCCCTAGAAAATTTGCTAAGATCCTTAAACCTGCCTTGTAATCATTACACAGCAAAGGACACATTGTTTCCAGTCATTTAGATGATTTCTATCTAGGGCAATACCCCTGAGGAATGTTGCTCTAATTTAATAAATACAGTGACACTTTTTACACAACTGGGACTGTTAGTCCATCCTGATACGTGTATTTTCATCCCCTCACAAGAAATAGTGATTTGGGGTTTATAATAAATTCAGTAAAAATGACCGTCAAACTGACGCCAGAGAAAGCACTAGCCCCAAAGTCAGATTGTGGTTTGTTTTTTAAGAAATGTCCTGGTAATATTGTAATTCGAGAAGTTGCCCAAATTATTGGGAAAATAGTATCAAGTTTTCCTGGGGTCCTGCGGACCTCTTTACTATCGACATTTAGAAAGGGACAAAACCTCAGCTTTAGCTAGGAATAAGGATAATTTTGGTGCTAAAATGACCCTCTCTATAGAAAGTACAGTATATTAGAGTTAAAATGGTGGTCAAACAAAGTAATAGATGCATTTAAACACATTTCACATGGGGAACCTTCCCTAGTTATTACAACAGATACTTCCCTGCAAGGTTGGGGTGCTGGATGTCCGAGTATAGCCACTGGTGGATTATGGTCACATCTTGAGGCAATGGAACATGCTCATAAACTATTTAGAATTATTAGCTACCTTTTTGGGCTTGAAAACGTTTGCAAAAACAAGACGTAACCTACATATAAGGCTAATAATAGACAATACGTCTGCAGTCGGCATTATTAACAACATGGTACAAGCCATACTCCCAAATGTAATATTTTAGCCCAACAGGTCTGGAGTTGGTGTATTAGAGGCAAATATGAATAAGTGCTGCCCATATACCAGGACGAGATAATTTTATTGCGGATTTTGAATCAAGAAGAAATGAAAAGGAATCGGAATGGATGCTAGATAAACTACTTTTAGCCAAAGCATTAAAAGACTTAGATTACTCACCAAGAATTGACCTATTTGCCTCAAGAATTAATAAACAATTTGATACATATGTTTCATACAGACTAAACTCACAGGCGTCAGCAGTAATGCATTTACTCTAACATGGAGCTCACTGATGTTTTATGCTTTTCCTCGCTTCAGTCTTATAGGGACTGTTTTAAGCAAGATCAAAGCAAGGTGGGTGGTTGTGCTACCAAATTGGCCAACACAACCTTGGTATGCGAAAGCCCATTCCATGGGGGGAAAATCACCCATACCTTTACCAGCGTCAAAAGACCTGTTGATACTTCCCAGCCATCCAAACAAGCACATCCATTGTTCAAAAAACTGTCAATGATGATTTGCCGAGAAAGTTTAAAGCTCCAAAATCTGTCAGAGTCCACGAAAGAAATTATAATGGCTTCTTGGCGTAAAGGCACTCAGAAACAATATAAATCATATCTTTTACGATGGGAAGAATATTGTAATCGAGAAAATGTTGCACCTCATAATCCTGGGAAAGCATATGCTATCGAATTTCTTAGGGAACTGTATGATTCAGGTGTAGGATACAGTGCTATAAACACAGAGCTCGATCAACACTATCGTTAGTGATAATACCCACGGCAGAGATTCCATTTGGGAAGGACCCTTTAGTTTGCCGATTTCTAAAAGGGGTATTTGAACTGAAACCTTGCCTCCCAAAACACGCTGAAATTTGGGATGTAAATAAAGTTATTTGTTACCTACAATTATTTGTGACTCCGTAGTGACGTGACTGATGACGTAGTAGAATTCTAAAATTAAACGAGACTGACCAGTAAGTTGAAGTTTGATCAGTCAGGAACGAAGGAGTCACATGCCCAGGTACTCGGTACAATGTCCTTCCCTCCCGTGACTATTCGTTCCTCATTCCTGCAACCGTTCACGTTAAAAACTGATCAGCGAAGCACGCACGTGCTGACTGATAACTAGTAGAATCCCAATCAAACTTCAACTTACAGGTAAGTCTTGTTTAATTTTAGAATTATACCACATCGAAACGTTCACTGCTGTGGATAAATCGAAAAAGTTATCCTCATTAGCAACTATTTGGAAGGTTTAAACTTGGTGGCCCTAGCTAGTGGACTTTATAACATAATAAAACTCTTACCTTTTTGTTTTTGTTTACACACGCTGATATTGTGCTTTGCACTTCGGCACTCGTGGATCTTTCAACATGGTTGCAATTTACTATTTTCTCTACTTTGTTTTTAAAATATTTACCGCTCGCGTTAGCCCACACCATAGAAATAATAGATACCTATTATTTCTATGGCGCACACCATTGAACTATGGCCCACACGCAGCCCGCAAATCACAGGCTTCAACACTGAGCTATATATCTTATGTGTAAGGCTAATACATAACTTCAATAAAATCCGGGATGGGCTCCTTGGGTAGGGTTAGTTCAAAAACTAAGGGCCCCCGACAGTTAGGGGGCCCCATCGGCCACCGCCTATCGTCCAGAAAATTAGAAAATCATATCAAAATCAAAATAAAAAATATATTTCACCATTCTATTAAAATATTTACAAGTGTTATATTAAACACACAATTACAATAAAGCTTGTATTTATTGGTGTATGTTATAAGGATATGGTAGGAGATTGGCATAGAAACTCGAGAGAGTTTGTTATTTACCAATCACCTTATCCAGCAGAGTATAGAGATATTAAGTAGCTATTAATTTGTTGTTTGTGTGAGAGAAAGGAAAACAATATAATGATATTATATTCTTTTGATAAAGCATATAACATATTGATTATTTGATCATTTCATTAAACATGGAATATTTAAACTTTTTCTGGAAAGATTGGAGTGATGTAGCATGGATGATGGAATCATCAAGTGAATTCTAAAGAGTAATCCCTTAAAGTCATTTGTCTAGTTTTGGTCCTGGCTTGAATGACATGAATTTTACTGGCAATTCTTGTGTTACGATTGTGAATTTCATTGTTAAAAGTAAAGTAAGTTCGGAAACAGTGGGAAGAGTGGATGGAGTAAATATACATCTATACATGAGAGATTCAGTTTGTAACTTATTAATATCATACACTGTTAATTAATAGTTTTAGTTTAAGAAATAATGGCTTAGTATGATCCCTATATCCTACATTAGCAATTATTCGGATGGCGCGTTTTTGATGTTTTAAGGTGGCTCTATGCACTTTTTAGCCAAAGGAGCAAAAGTTGAATATTTTCTGTTTAAATGCTTTTACAGGGTTAAAAGTAAGATAGTAACACATAGTAAGACGTGTCGCGAACAAGAAGAATTCTGATAAAAGTCGCGTTTCCATGACAACTATAACGAATATATAATGGCACACTAAATAGCCGAAAATATCGCAGTTTTTCGAGTTTTTTTTTTAAATTAGTTCGGTGACCCCAATTTTTTTTAATAAATCAGTTACGTTAGTGTCGAGAAACATTTCTGGGAAGTTTAAAAAAAATCTGTCGACTCAATTCTTTAGAATTAAATTTCGACTTTTTTGACAGTTTTTGTCGACAATTTTTTTTAATTTTTCCATCATGAAATCTTGAAGTATGCATCTACTCATGTACAAGTTTTCAGGGTACCTTACCGAACTCGTTTTGGAAATAATCACGGTTTTATTCCGCGCGGCCAAAGTCTTTCACACCCTGCAAGACCAATGAATTGACATGCGCGTACATGTTTTCGCAGGCGTATCTCCAGAAAAACACGCACAAAAACGTTTTTAGTCTCGTCGAAATATCAAATATATATTGTGTTTTCTTGCTTAGAAATGCAAATGTATTTAGTTTTGCATGCTAACTCGGGATAACGCCAAGAAAACAGGTGATTGTCGGTCGTTTGGTATAAGATATGTGTGACACGTATGAACTTTTTGGCTTTTCTACATTGTTTTATATTCGTTTTCAGTCGTAACTTGTGTGTTTTCATGTTGTTGCTGACAAGTTAAAACAGTTTGAGCCGGCGCATGATGCTGTTTCACTGAATTCCTTTGCTGTTAGTAACACTTTAAATACATTTACCAGTTGTAAGTACAAAAACTGGATATGAACTTATAAATCGCCAAATATTGGAGTAAAAAACTTTTCGCCGGTCGGGCCGATCGCCGGTTTTCACAAGAGTTTGAACGTTGAACAATGCATTTTTTACCTTAAAATGTCTTCTAAAAAGACTAGTTATTCAATGTTCAGAGCTAAATCAGGACGAAGTTTGTTCTTTGAGAACAAATGAGAACAAGGAAGACTCAAAACATCAAAATAAACATGAATTGTGGTTCGGATTTTAGACTGAGAAAGTTGTGTTTATTTTTGCATATATTTTTAACATTTTCGCACGAAAACTCAAGTTTAGCTACCAGTCCCCCAATGATGAAAAGTGTATGGAGCCACCTTAATATCTTTTCAAGATTGATACTGTAAGTGTTTGCCCAGATTATGTTGCAATATTGAATATATGGTAGTACCAATGAACAATATAGAGTCCGCCGAGCAGTGGCCGATATTAGTGATTTTATTTTGTTTATGGCTCCAATGGACTTAGAAATTTTTAGAGAAATTATATTAATATGAGGTTTCCAATCTAGATGTTCTGGAATATGAACGCCAAGAAATATCAAAGAACTAACTTGTTCTATAATTTGATTATCAATCATAATATCAATATTTTTGGTATAACGTTTGGTCCTCGAACAGAAAATCATTCTTTTTGTTTTTTTGAGATTTAATGACAACTTATTCGCTTTAAACCATATGGACAATTTTACAAGCTCTAAGTTAACCGATTGTAGTAGTTGGTCAAGATCTTTGCCTGAATAAAAAATAGTAGTGTCATCAGCAAATAATATTATCTTTAATAAGGAAGAGCAGTTCGATATATCATTTATATAAATAAGGAATAGCAGGGGTCCCAATATTGACCCCCTGGGGAACACCACAAGAAATAGATTTGCTCCGACAAAGTATCATTGAATTTGACAAATTGTTTCCTGTTGGAAAGGTAGTCAGAAAACCAGTTTAATGGTGTACCCCTAATACCATAATGAAGGAGTTTCTCAAGAAGAATTTTATGATTGAGCGTATCAAATGCTTTGCTCAAATCAATGAAGACTCCCACTGAAAACTCATTTCTATCCACTGAGTTAGAAAGATTATCACTTAGTTCTAATACAGCCATAAAAGTAGAGTGATTCTTCCGAAAACCAAACTGGTTATCACATAGAATCTTGAATTTAGTTAAACAATCTTTTCAAGAACTTTGGAAAGAAATTGTAGAATGGATATAGGGCGATAGTTAGAAAACTCACTGTTATCATCATTTTTGAAGATAGGTATAACTTTGGCTATTTTTAATTGATCTGGTACCCTTCCCACTTCCATTAATTTATTGATTGAATATATGAGTGAGAATCGGTGTAAGTGGCTCAGCAACCAATTTACACACAAGCGGATCTATATTATCTGGACCTGGAGACTTATTAGGATTAAGATTCATCAATATGTTGAAAATTTCAGTATCATAGGTCGGATAAAAAACAAATGAATTTGGGTAAGATCCCTTTAGAAAATTTGAAAAATTGGTTTGAGTAGCAGGGATTTTCGTAGCAAAGTTAGAACCCACCTTAACAAAGTAATCATTGAAATCATTAGCAATTGATTTATTGTTTGATATATGAATATCATTATGTACAAAGGATCTGGGTAATTATGTCTGGTTTTACTTTTGTTTAGCAAGTCTTTCAAGGTTTTCCATGTTTCTTTAATGCTGTCTTTTACATAATTGAGCTTATTTGTGTAGATCTGAATTGTTTTAGAATTGTTTATTTGTGTGGATGCTAAAACCTCCATCGACAATCAACGGTAGCTGATTTTTTTATTCCATGTCAAATAAAACAAAAGTTAATTGTTTTTGTTTTTGGGAAACACCACGTAAATTTATTACTGCAAAGCTTTCGATCCGTAAGCCCGGATCTTCATCAGTGCTAATAATATGTAACAATTAAGTGCTAATAATATATAACATATTATTAGCACTGATGAAGATCCGGGCTTACGGATCGAAAGCTTTGCAGTAATAAATTTACGTGGTGTTTCCACAAACAAAAACAATTATATTTTATCGCCATGCAAACATTCAAAGAACTTAAAACAAAGGTTATTCTTATTAGTTGTCATATGTATTGGAGACTGTTATTCTTATTGTTATACAGGGTGTATCAAAAAAAACTGAACAGATTTGAAATTGCTCTCAATTTCGCAAAACACCTATTTGTATCTGGTTTTATATATATATAGCTTCTTTGGGTACTTATAATGTAAAATAATGAAAAAAATTTCTCGAACTCAAATTTTGTGAACCAGGGGGGTGTGTCTTTTCCAACAAACTAAAAATGGCTCGCGCACAAAATTTAAAAGCTGTAATCATATTTTGAGTTAATAGATTGAAAATTTGTCGGGTTTTTAATTACTGTACAAAATTTCAGACAATTTGGTTTAGTTTAAGCCCTTTAACTATTCATTTTGTTCTAAAAAGTCAGCCTTTCGCATGCTTAATTAATGCCTTTACCTAATTTTCATATTGC